TGGTGTTAGAGAAGGAAACTCTTTGAGATGGTTGAGATGAGTTTACCGTGAGATTTGATAGTAGATATGACACTCACTAGAAATTTTGCCCTCATTTTGTGAGAAATTTTTGAAAAGGAGTTTGAGGTTTACACACAAATTATGATGCATGTCAGTCGGTTAAAAATCACAAACAACTTTTACCAAAATCTGTAAATTGTAGTACTAAACTTTTTTAGCCTTTTAACAGTGATATTTGGGGACCAATCCCCATTGTATCCATCGATAAATAATATACTCTCTTTATTGATAATTTTATGAGATACTATTGGTTGTTTCCACTGGTAAACAAGGCTGATGCATTATAGAAATTTATACAATTGCATAAGCAAATCAATACACAATTTAATATCTCACTGAATGCTATCAGAATTGATGGAGGAGGTGAATTTACTTCTCATGCTTTCAATCCTACCTAGCAACATATGGGATACAACTTAGTTGTCCTTATACCTTAGAATAGAATGGGGTATTTGAACACAAGCATCATCATGTTTTTTAAATGGATAAAACACTTCTCTTAACAACACACTCACCACAAAAAAATTTTTGATAGATGTTGTCCAAATTGCGAAATGAATATTCCGTGAAAGGGTTGGTGTAGCTCCTGTGACATACAAAATTAGAGAAAGTTGTCTTAGATGGTGTTGTCACATTAAATGTCTACCATCTGATCATCCGATTAGGAGAGTAGATGTTTTAGATTTAACTTAAGATAAGAAAGGCAGAGGTAGACCTATGAAGACTTGGGCTTGTTGTATAAAAAATAATCTTAATTTATTACAACTAAATGAAAATATGACACTAAGTAGGACACAATGGAGAAAAAAGATTCATGTAGTCGACCCCACGTAGTGGGATTAAGGCTTTGTTGTTGTTGTTGTCCAAATTACCATCTATTTGATAAAAGAATGCCCTCAAGAAATATAAATAAAAAGTCTCTGTTTCAGCTTCTCCACAACAAACTTCCAAATTATCACTCATAAAAATATTTGCTTCTTCAAGTTAACCATGGCTACACCGTTCATTCATAAACAAACTGAATTTCAAAGATCAACTTGTTTGTTTCTTGGCTACTCCTCACATCACAGGGGATATAGATGTTACAACCTTGTTACACACAAAGTTATGATATCATATGCAGCATTTGTTGAAACTAAATTTCTATATCATTCCTCAAACACAATTATATCTATCTTTTCAACTAATAAATCAATAACCTCACTTATGCTACTACCTATAATTCCACAAAATAACCTATCATCAAAATATCACAACAGCTCAATAAACTCACCTCAAATTACCACTCCTATTAATATTCCCACAACATTAAATCCTTCACAAAATCATATATCTCCATAAAAAAACTACAATACGAGCCATAAAAAGACCGAAACATCCAACACAACCAATTAAAACAAAATTAAATATAGGAAGCAGGAACCTAAATAGGTGTTGTATCTATCTCATCAAGTCACCGATTCTAATGAACCTACCAAATTTACTCAAGAAACTTACTCAATGGAGAAAAGCCAAGTCTCAAGAGTTCTTAGCAGTCCAATAGTAAGAGACATGGGAATTGGTACCACCACCATCGAATTGCATTATCAAAGTGTGCAAATGGACATACAAAATGAAACACCATTCAGATGGGCCTATAGCTACACACAAAGCTCGGGCGATGGCCCAGGGCTATGTGCAAGAGTATGGGATTAATTTTCTTGAAACTTTTATTCTTATAGCTAAGATGCCAACAATCAAAATTTTAATAACAGTAGCCATACATTACCAATGCGAGATCATTCGGTTAGAAGTGTCAATCAATTTATTTTATGGAACATTCGAAGATGAGGTATACACAACAACCATCAGATTTTAAAGATAAAAAGAAACCTCAATATGCTTGTCATTTGAGATAAGCCATATATGGGTTAAAAAAGCACATTGACGGTAACTTCCTTTTCCTACTTACGACAATAAGGATTTAAATTCTCAGTCAAGCATATCCTTCATTCCTTATCTATCAAAAGGATGGTTGTTTTAGTTTCCTTATAATTGATGTGAATGATAACCTTATTACAAGGAATGAATTGAATTTCATATAAAAACTCCTAAGAACACTTCACAATATATTTAACATATATACAAGAATTGGGAATTATATGTACTTTCTTAGGAATTCAATTCCACATAACTACATCAGGTTACCACTTGAATCATGCCTCATATATATAAGAAATCTTAAAACAAGTAGGATTCCAAAACTGCAAAAACAATTCCTACACCATGCCCAACCAAATTTTCCTCAAATGAATCATTAAAATAATTCTTTTTAGGCATCAGTCAATATAGACATTTGACAGGAATGTTGCAGTACCTTACAATAACAAGGTCAGACATTGCATATGCAGATAATCAAGTATTTCAACATATGCACTTGCCTACAATTGCAAATTTTCAGCAAATTAAATGTCTACTTAGCTACCTCGAAGGTACACTCGCACATAGACTTTGCTTTGATGAAGGCTCTTCTCCAGTTCAATCCTACTCATATTCATATTGGGTTAGGGATTCAATTACCAAAAGATCTATCTTTGGTCACTATGATTTTTAGGGAAACAATCCTATTTCATGGGAGGTACAACAACAATCAATTGTAGCTAGATTGTCAACATAAGTTGAATATAGAGCTCTATCATTAGCATCAACAAAATTAATGTGGCATCAATGCCTAACATTAGAATTTTAGCTAGCTTTGGACACATGAACAACTACTTTTGTGATAATACATCTGCAATTGCTCTAGCAAACAATTCTACTTTCTGCACTCGTACTAAATATATTGAAGTAGATAATCACTTCATCAGAGATGAAATTGCGACCAAAATTATTACAGTACAACACATAGCCACACAAGGCTAAATTGTAGATATATTCGTTAACGACTTACCTTCTAAAGCTTTTCAAATTCTTATGAACAAACTTAGCATCCATCCTCTGGATGCTAAGCTTGAGGAGCTTTTACAAGAAGACAAGAAAGTTCATTATATAACTAACCAATGATTGTCGCAGCTGTACAACGATTCTTTGCTATAATCACCTCACCAATAAATACATTAGCAAAATGTACTTATATAGCTGGTCTTCTATATTTGAATAAATTTTGTTATAGTTGTTGCTATGTATCTTTTATAATTTTCCTTTCTTGAGTTTCTTCAGGGGCTAGTTCAAGCGGGATAGTTATGTGAGCAACAAGTTTTGGTCATGAGCACGTGGAATACAATTGAGCGGATGACCACTACAAGAGTTTGTGGGATTTGAAGTATTCAATCAACAAAGAACATGTGAGAGATACAAATCTTAGGATTTTTGTGTGAGAGGTGCAAAAGGGTTAGTGACATTAAGTGCCTTGGTCTCACGAGTGGTAGCTGTAGAAGAGGAAAAACAAGAGGGAAGCATAGTAGAGGCATAGGCAGTGGAGTTTGGTTGTTGATGCACATGGAGTGAGCTTATTGAATGTTTTCAGTTTGAACAAAGAGATAGAAAGTCTAAACATCGTTAATTTTGGCAAACTTGAGGGTTGCAACTAAAAGGGAGGAGCTAGCAAGTATGAATAGGGGTTAGAGAGGTGAGCAATGTAAGATGTTCGAAAACGAGAGAGAGATCAAATTGGGGGATGAGGGGCATGTTAGAGGACGTGGGGCATAAAGCATGATGCTTTGATGGGAAGAGTGGTGAGGAAGTGGCTTAAGAAGAGTGGCCTAGATTACATTGAGTAGTTTGGGAACTAGAGTTCAGTTAATTGCAATTTTGTAGGACAAGCCTCAGGAGAGGTATGGAGTTTGACACTATTGTGTCAAGCGAGTGGCACAACTAGTGAGCTAGATTTCTGAAAACGAGGGTTGGGTTGGAGAAAAGGCGATGGAGAATCAGAAGATGGGAGTGAGCTTTCATGTAGGATCGAGAGCGACAGGGAGGAACAATGAATTCGTTAGCTACGGAGTGGAGGAGACTTTCTCTGTGCAAGTGGGAGAGATTGAATAAAAAGATAAAGGGGTCCAATGGGAGTGGAGAGAATTGGAGTTTATATTTTTTTTTTATTTTTTTTTTTATTTAGATGGAGATATAAGATTGGAAGGAGTGGGGTAGCTATGTATCATGAGGAAATAAAATAGGCATTGGGCACATGAATTGGCGGTAGATTTCATAGGGAAGAAAAGAGAGCTTAGTAAATGTTTAGTGTTAATTTTTTTTAATTTTTAATTTGTGCCTTGATATACTGACCACAATCTAATGTTAAAAAATATGACAATATGAGTTTGTTTCCTAAGCAAAGTTGAAATTTTGATTGCTCTCACGTGGTTTGTTTTACGATCAAATGACGTCCGAGCAAACTTACTATTGGTTGAGGTGATTTGAGTTCGATTCGCACAACATGGACTTCTACTCGTTGTTTCACAATGCTTGCTTTTTTTTCGGTCATATAAGGTCCCTCCCTCAAAAATTTCAATGCTCTTAATGCAAAGTCGGTTTTATAAATGGGCATTATTTCAAGTGACTTCAGGTATGATTGAGATATTTCGATCTCAATTCACATAGCATTGCATTTTTTCGTTTGTTATTTTTATTGCATTTGCTTGAGTTGCTCGACCCAACTTGTGAAGCATATATAGAGATCAATTAGTCGTTTGACTCAACCAATGAAACATACATTGGATGCAGGATTGCGGTTGAGATAGAGTCACATTTAAAGGTTTAAAGTATTAGGCGAGTGAATAAAATTTATAAGATGTCAAATGCGTAAATAACAAATTTTAGAGGGTTATCTAGTTAAATCTCAAAAATAAAAATATGTTATTTATATATTTATTAATTTTTAAGGCACGTGACATTGCACACGTGCTGAGTACCAATAATTTAATACCCTCCGCCGCCAGTAGCAGCGAGCTCAACTCTGCTGACCTCCGGAAAACGATCGACTTGGCTTTTCATCCGGCATGGACTCATGCCCGGTTCTTCCCTTCATCTCTACCCCCGCAGTCGCCCTGGTAGGCGTCGTCGACTACCGCGGCTACCCCGCTTTCCGATCCTCCTCGGGCAGGTGGACGGCCGCTCTCTTCATCATCTGTATGAGAAGTTCAATCCATTTTTTTAACTTCCTCTCCTCTCCCTAATGCCTCCCGTCCATTCGGTTTCTGATCTCTGATTCTTGTGACCTTGTCGCAGGGGTGGAGATTGCGGAGAGGTTTGCATATTATGGGATTTCTTCCAACCTTATTACCTATCTCACTGGGCCGCTCCAGGAGTCGACGGCGGCGGCAGCAGCTGGTGTGAATACTTGGGCCGGGGTAGCGATGATGCTGCCGCTTGCAGGCGCGTTCGTCGCTGATTCGTATCTTGGTCGTTACAGGACCATTCTGTTCTCTTCTCTGCTCTATATTTTGGTCGGCTCTTAACTTTCCCTATCTTTGAGCTTCCACTTTGGGTTCTCTCTCTCTCTCTCTCTCTCTCTCCCTCCCTCTCTCTCTCTCTCTTGTATTCTCTCCAGCTAAGCAACTAAGGGGTGATATGTTTCTACTTTTCTTTATTATTTTTTTTTTCATTCCATGCTCCTTTTCTTAAGAAAATTGGAAGTGAATTGAGTTGTGTGGTTGAATTTGTTGTATAACTATTGAAGGCTTTGGTTTTGGAGTATAATGAGCTGTTAGATTTCAGAGTTTCAAATGCCTAGTTGTATTGCAAGGGCATAAGCTTAATATTTTGCAGTTGGGTATTCTTTTCATCAGACTGAGTCGATTGTTTAGATTCACATAATTTGACTGTCCAGAAACACTTTTTGCTATTTGGTGCATGAGGCATGATGCAGCATCGGCATTGCCTGTAGCTATTATTTTCATCGTTTATTCTTTTAAAATAATTGTTATGTTTTTTATTCTCTAATATCAGGACATTTAGGAAATAGGTAGCCAAATTACATTAAGAATTGAAGAAGTGAAGGAGTATGGAATTCATGAACTGACAATAAATGGATTGAACAGTGGTTGGGCCCAAAATATAATGTTAGTAGCGGCATGCATGAGATAGTAGATTGATGAATTAAAGGCACTTGGGAAGTGGATAATCTTATTAGGTCATGATTCAGGGGGATGAGGCATGCCCAACGTAAGGGATATGAGAAGTATAATTTGTGGGGAGGTTTTATGATATTAATTAAAAAAAAAATATTTCATAATTAATCAAACATCAAGAATGCAAACCAAAGCGAACTAACAATGATTAGGCAGATTGAATCTATCAATGAGGGAGCTATTTCTAAAGCAGTTGGTGAATGGATTTGATGTGCAGTTAATTAAAATAAAGTAAACCTTGCAACCATTCATGAGTCATATCCTTTTAAATGAAAACATTTATTCTTTGGGAACATTTATAATGATGTGATTGCAGTGAAATTGGTAGCTAGTTAAACGAGGGTTTTTGAATTTTGGTTGACACCAATGACACCATCGATACTTTGAATGCATTGTTTATTCATTTGAAATAATTTTTGACTGAACACCATGCATCTTAGAGTTTCCAAGGGATCTTGATCAATTTCTCAAGTGAGGGATGTGTCTTTCAAGGGATGGTCATCCTTGAAGTTACTTGGAAGAGATTACAAATCTTATGAAGCATAATTTAGTGATTTCATGATGTCGTTGTACTCTCTCAACCTCCACTATCATCTTTGTGCGACCTTTACTATATTGGTTCCAAGCAGTTGTCTCAATTGGTCATCTAATAATAAAATTTTTTATGCTAAATGGATTTGCTCCAATTCAAGGATTTTATTTGATATAAAAAAATCTACCTCAATATCAATTAAGGAGAGTGTTCTATTTTGAACACTAAAAAGGCCATTCGATCGAGACTCTGATTAAATGAGGAGGCTGTTGAATTTCTTTTTTAGAAGAAGAGGTGTTTTGCAAAAAAAAAAAAGAAAAAAAAAAGAAAAGGAGGAGTTCTTTGTGTTCGTCTGGGATGTCTGGGGTTGACTTGAATTCCAATTGTTATCGTTTGCACATCTAATTAGAAAACAAGGATATCAAGTAAAAGAAAAGAAATTTTATGCGTGAAATCAACCAAGCAATTAAAGAGGAGGTGCATAAACTCTTGGATGTTGAATTCATTCAAGAGATTTAAAATCTTCAGTAGATTTCCAACATAGTGATGATCGATTTAGTAAATCTTCTACGTATGTCAATTGATGAATGGAGGATATGCATTGATTTCAAGCAAAACATTGATGCTTGTCCATAAGAATCTTACCCATTACTCAACATTAATGCTTTGGTTGATTCACTGGTAAGCTATTCCATGCCGAGTTTCTTGACATCTCTAGCTGTCATCAAATTATGATGAATCCATTTGACAAAGATTAGACAAACTTTATCACCAACTAAGAGGCTAGTGATGGAATTAGGATTTTAAGTGAGAAAGGTTAAAAGAGTTTACCATGGGGGTGGGTAAGAGGCAAGCCCATCCTCTTCCAAGTTCCAGTATTAGGAGGGACATTCTATTGTAGTATTATCTCATTTGTATTAATGAGCACAATCTTCTTAAATAACACATAAATGACAAAATTTACAGATCTGCATGATGTTATCGTCATAAAAAATAAAGAATTCATTAATTATCTTGATGATCTTCTTAAGATGTTTACAATGTTGATGTTCACCATGAAGCTGAATCTTAAGTGCATCTTGAGCATCAAGTTAGAAAAACAGTGCCTAAATGATTAACTATGGGTATTCTAACCAATTCTGAATAATTTAGAGCGGTT